GTTTACTGCTCCCAGGCAGCAGCTGAGATGGAGCACCCTAGGGTGGGGTAGGGTGGGGTCCACAGCTACTGGAGTTTTGTAGGGAGAAGGGTCTCTTAAATAGGCTTTAGGTTCCTTTTTTTATTTTAATGGAACTTTACACCTGAATTCAAGGCCCTGTTCAGGTATTGCCCATCTGGTCACACTTAAAAGAAAAAGTGAGGAATGTTGTTATTGGGAAATGGGATGTAGTTTCTGCATGGCTACTTCTTCCATGTATCAGGGGCAGTTGTGGATTTCCGGTAAAGGAATATAGGGAACCTGACCTTGGTTAGGGCCTGTACCCGTGTCATTAAAAACTGGACAATGCATGAGGCCATGGTAAAGAAGGCTATGACTAATATCAAGGGGCCTAGTAAAGGGTCTAGCCATGATAGGAAAGGTTGTTGTAACCATCTCCAGAAGGTATTTCTTCTAGCGCTGGATTCTCTGATGTTCTTGGCCAACTTGCGTAGCTTTGCCACATTTTGTTCCACCTGCCCCAAGCTGTTCACATAAAAACAACATTCTATGGTAGCTTAATTATTTGTTGGTTTGGCTCATTATAGAATTCAATGTGTAAATAATTTCCCCTCACAATTTTAAGAACATTTTTTCCCCTTCCAGTGATATTGCAAATCCCAAGGCATCATACTCTATCCTTTTTAGCAGACCAATTTCATCTCTCTGGAAGCTGGTAGGATCTTGGTCTCTTTTGTGCCGTGGGTGGGTTTTTCTATTTTCTGGATAGTTGCCCCATGAAATCTGGAAATCATATTCATTAGCTTTAGAACATTTTCCTGAGTTATTTTGTTAATGGCTTCTTTTTTTCCTGTACTTTTATACTTTTCTAATAATATTGCATATTCAGGACTACATCTTACAATTTTCTTATGTTCTGACTGTGTGCTTCTCTTTAAAGATTTCCTGTTTATTTTCTATCTTGCAATTTTTCATTTCTGTAATCATTTTTAAGACCTGAGTCTTGTACAGTTTTCTCTCACCCTATGAGAAACTCCTTTTGTTAATTCTGTGAAGGTATTGTTTTTATCTTGTCAAGAATCTTTTTCTCTGTTATAGTCTATTTCTTCCATCTTTTTTCCCCTTACCTTTTTTGGTTTGATCTCTTTTTTATATAGATACTTGGGGTCCTATCTCTGATTGTCCTTGGCAATTTGCTACTAAGTAAGATTAGGCACCAGTAACAAATTAGCAGTTATAGAATGCCAGGAATGTGTTAGGCAAAGTTCTAAGGCCTTCATTTATTCTAATTTATCCTCATAAGGATCTTAGGAATTAGTTACATTGTTGTCAACATCATGATCCCTACTTGACCAATAAAGATAGGCCACACAAAATGTTCAAGTAACTTACCTAGTGTGATACAGTTAGCAAGTGGCAGAGGTAGAATCTATAGACTGAATTCATAATCCCTTCTAGTCTTTATAGTGTCCTGCCTTTTGAAATGAGAAACAAACTGGAAATTCTGTGCTTGTGGGTGGGCTTAAAGTGTTTTTGCCTGAGTGAGCTGTATCTTTGTGAAGTCTCTTATGAGTTCCCCCTGGGTTACTTAGATTCTTCAGAAGGAATCTTCTAGTATCTGACTGAAGGTTAAGCCCCGCTGCCAGCAATTTGGTTGTTGATGGTGCAAGAGGACTCCAGGCATGGGCCTTTGGCTTTAGTACTCAGTGTGTATCTGCTTCAGCAGCATCCCCAGGCTTAATCCATGCTTCTGCAGAGGAAGGAACTGTAAGTTGCCGGTTTGTGTAGATTCTAGGAGGGAATCTTGGGGATATGCCTGTGGCCCTTATTTTGAGTCTCTTTTACTCTCTAATGCTGCTCATTCCTGAACCTTTTGTGGATTCTGTGATGTACTCATGATGAATTCTTATTTTTCCGCAGCCAGTTTAAGTCCTTATATTTGCTTTCTTTTTTGGGCAATTTTCTATTTCTCTTTCACGTTATGTCTACATGGAAGAAAACAATAAAAACAAATCTTGGCTACTTTTTTTAAGGAAAAGACTTAAATACAGTTCATGTGTCATTTAACATTCTGTTAGGTCTGTTGAAATGGTTTTCAGGTGTGTACTTATTCCTGAAGCATTTATCATCATCATCATTTTTTTTTGGATGCTTCCAACTAGAATTATCACCATCCAAAAGGTGATAGGCAGGTCTTTCCTTCCACTTTAGAATTTTTCCTGAAACTCTTTTCTATCTTATGTTTATATTTGCATGCTTTGCTTGTTCTCTGCCCTGTGCCCTCCCCAATCATTGAAGCCCTGCAGTGATGTCTTTTGCTGAGATGCTCAATGCAGTTTGTTCTACTAAGTGTTTTTCTTGTAAAATATCAGCAATGTATGAAATACTGAATATAGTAAAGGAAGGAATTAATACAGTAGTGCAACAGAAGATTAAATTCAGATTTAAAGCTAAATCTGAATTTAAAGACCATCTTTAAATCTGGCTACTATGAAGTCTTTGACAATAGATATCTAATAATAACTAAGTATACATTTTTCTTTATGCCAGGATGCAAAAGAATCAGTTATAGGAGTTGACAGTTTTTACATCAAGCTTATTGTAGAATAGGGACCACAGATATATTTAGTATTTGCTACACTAAATATTTGTTTTATGGAATATTAAGTATTTGAAGAGTCTAAAATGTCACTAAGCATACTTCCAATAAAATGTTTTAATTTTTGTAAGTAACTAAACCTACACAGACTTGTAATATATGACTTGTAATATATCCTTAAAAACTAATTTTTGCTTTTTGCATATTATAAAATTGGATGCATATCTCTATTGTTAATTTTTCTTCCTCCTGCTCTTTACAATTTTCAGAAAGAAACTGTTGCAGTCTGAAATTATTCAGAGGACGATGATTGCTTTAAACATAAGGTTGTGATCCAGCCGGTTAGCTCAGTTGGTTAGAGCTGATAAAAATAAGGTTGATTTCTCTAGAACTGTATGGTAAGAACCTCAGGTCCCATTTATTTTTTCAATGTATTAACACTTATTTATAAATAGCATAGAGGACTCAATCTGCATTTTAATCAGTAAAAGTCTCTGCTGTATGAAAAAACATCAGAGGCCACCACTATGTTCTTTTGGAGCTAAGTCAGTACCTAGGAAACTGATGGTAGTTGACTCATTGCCACAGGTGGGCAAACTGCAATGATTCTGAGGCATGGGTGTTTATTTTGTTTTCGAATTTTCTGGCATCTTACACATAATTTGTTGGGATGTGACTTATGAAAACACATAAAAGCATTACTCTAAAAATTCCATTCTTTTGAAACCATGTATTTGGGTGTAGTGTTTGTAGATGCTAAAAATATTTTTAATGGTCTCCTGAGATTCATGGGATCCATGTGAAGACAAATGTGGTGTTTGCAGTTTGACTTTGTTAATTTTCAGTATCCATATCACTCTTCTTTCATAATTTCTTCATAAAAAATATAATCACATACAGATTTCTATTTGCTTACAACACAAAATTAATGTGAATTCCATTTCAAACTAACCACTATCAAAAGTCTCTGAAAGTCTGGTTTATATTTTTTGAGTGTTGTATGTGGGTGATTCACTTAGATTTGAATTTTTCATCAAATGGTAAAGTTATGGGTACTGTAACAATACCAGTATCATATTCTGGTTAATGTCTTTTCTTTTTATTATGTTTTTTTCTGTATTTGTTACCTGCCTTTCTGTAAACTAATTTTTCTTGACTTAAATCCTTGAGGATTTTTTTACAGCTTTTCTTTGACCATTTTTAGAGTTTTATTTTTGAAGACATTAGTATAAGTTTCACTGAGAAGGCAAAGCATGGCTCTCTATCACTGTTGTTTCATCATACAAAGTAAAATGCCTTAGAAAATGCTTCTACAATTCCTAACCTATGCTTTAATTTGTCCCGCTCTTTTTCTAGACATTGTGGAAGATTGTTTTCCTGTAATCAAGTTCATTTTGTATTACTGGGTCAAGGAAGCTATAATCAATACATGGCTGTGCTCGCTTTTGAAAGTCAAAAAAGGAAATGAGTTGTTACTGACCAGAGCATCACTGTAGATTTTTTATTTGATATAGGCCACCAATTTATTACATTTTACCTTTCCAGGCTTTTTAGTTCTTTCATGGTTTATTAGATCAAACCGTCTCCTTTATCTTTTTAACATCTAGAAAACCAACTCATGGGATTCTCTTTTTCTTTTTGTGATACCCAAAGAAGATAAAAGTAAATGCATTATACTGCCATTTGTCTCTTACTTAAAGGATAAAGAAGAGGGAACTCTTGTTACTTCCTTGTGTTTTTCTCTTCCCTGCTCTCCCATGAATACATGACTTGATTTATCTTGATCAGCCTAGTAACTTGCTCCACATTTTTCCAAAAGTGCAAAGCAGTTTCAGCTAAAAATACACATATCAAAATGCTCCAGAAGTTGTGGCCACAGCTCAAAAATGCTGATCAATTTTGAAAATCTAAATCAACCTCGGCCATGAAACCGAGGGAAGAACCTTTGTGGTGGGGGACAGATTTCCAAAAATTCACCACAGTCCTGTTCTTAGCTGGAGTTTGTGCTGATGTTGCCAGATAACTGAGGAATAGATGCAAAAAGCAGGAAGCATTATTGAATTGAGCCCTAGCGCCAATTTGGGAAAAGCAAATTAAAATGTAAAAGAATATTTTTCCACTCCTGGCATCTCCAGATAAAATGGTCAAATACATGGTTGTTGAAAAAGTCAGAGAAATTGCTAATTTTGCCAGAATGGCTAATTTTGTCAGTCTTTTTGTGTGTGTGTGTGTGTTAAAAAATGCCTACACATGTATTAAAATTATTTTTCTGAACCCAAATGAAATAGTTTTAATTTACAAATCTAACTGCATATGTGTTTAAGCCAGGGAAGTATTTTGACAAAAATGACTGTGTGAGGTCTTGTTTCAGTGTATTGATTTTATTTATTTTTTTCAGGTGCCGCTACAAGAATGGATGATGATGATTTTGGTGGATTTGAGGTATATGTTATGCTTTTCTTGCTTCCTTAATTATGTTAACATTGTAGAATTGAAATGGGTTATACTATTTTGAAAGTTTATTATTTGTTATTAACACTCATATTTTTTATATTGGTCACTTAAAAAATGAAATCAAGGAAAATTAAAATATGTCCATTCTGAAAGTGAAAGCTGATGTATTTATTACTGTATTATTTGGTCCTATCCCTGGAGTGGGCTGAAATCGAGGTAATTGAGTGCTACTGGTGGAAACCCTGAAGAAGAGGTTTCAACCCCTGTTCACAAATGGGCAATGCCTGGGAGATGAGGGATGCTTGTTGACCATCTGTCACATGTTGGTGTGTTGACACCTGTGAAAAACTAATTTAGTGCACTAACTTCATGGCCTTTTGGTGGCATAGAGAGCTAATTAATGTTAGGGAGTTTTGTCACATTATTCTCTCAGGTTGGCGTTGGATGCTTGGTAAGTGGAAATTGTTAGCTGAAGAAGCACTGTCTTTTCCTTAATCCATTTCACTGCGTGTTCATTTTATTGCAGTATTTTATGACCCAGTTATTTTTATGGAGCCAGCATAGTCTTGCAGAAAATCTTTGGATTAGGAGTCAGGGCACTTGAGCTCACATCCTGGAACTAACATCAACTGAGTGTAAATGCTGAGGGGTGTGTATATGTGTGTGTGTATGTGTTTAGGAAGACTTTTACCTGGTTTGGTTTGATAAAAAGGAGTTTGTCAAAAGAGAGTGTAATATATGACATTAATAGAAAGGCTAAAATATAAAGTATTTTAAAAATATTATTATAGTTTTCTCTTGCTCTTTTTTATCTGCCACTGTGGAGCTATTTAGAGTATAAGCCTATTTGTTTTCTGCATTTCATTTAAAATTGGATTGTGTTTGGCTTTATACATTTACTTTTTATTTTAATGTTAGTTTAATATTTTAGTTTTGTTAGGTGATTAAATCTTACATTACTGAAATTAACAAATTTGTCAAAATTCCTTCCATTTGGAGAATGTTTTAGGTATCTTTGTTTTAGGAGTTGTCAGTAACTTGAAGGTTAAAACTTAGCATCGTCTCCTTTATTTAAACCATGTTTGATTTATATCAGAAAAAAAATACAATGAATAACATTCCTTAATGTAACCACTCTATTTCAATTGATCTATATACCTTTTAATGTTACACAGAGTGTTAACCAACCATTTAAATTTAATAGTGGTTATGTTTCTTCCTTTCCACATCCTGTTGTAGAAATATGGCAGGTCTCTGAGATTGTATAAACCATGTTTTTTGTACATAGTTTTCAGAGTAGCTACTGTATCACATGCCACTTATTTCAGTGATAGATTGCCTCGGTCAGCTGACAGCTCAATGTAGAAACAGAATTGAAGTTGTAACTCCTATTTTCAATAATCATTTTGTTGCAGCCTAGATACTTAAGAGACAGAATTTTGTTCTCTTACCTACAAACCCAGTATTCAGTAATTGTCCATTAGCTTTAAAACTGTTTAATGAAAAGACTTGTTCATTTAAGATGTTAGCTTTAGGAACTCTCTAAATGTTACCTTTTTTTTTTTTAAAGATTTTATTTTATTTGTACATATAGAACTGGGGTACAGGCCAGAGGCTCAGGGGCGGTAAGAGGCTTCACCAGAGACAGAGTGGGGAGCAGAACAGGCAGATCTACGAAGTACACTGCTGAGGGGAGCAGCGGGCGGGTCAGGAGAGGTCTGCCGCCATGTAGTCACCTCAGGGGCAGGCGGGGATCGAACTCATGCAGAAGTGGCCTCAGTTTCTCAGTGCAGCGCTTTACCCCGCTGTGCCACCAGGGAGGGCCTAAATGTTGATTACTTTTAAGTCCAACTAGTAGATTATTTAAGAGTTCAGATGTATTATAGTTTTTTAGATTGATCTCTAAGTTAATATTTTGCTAATTTATGGAAAAGGACTTGGTCTCTGGACTATTAAAGAAAAGTGATTTATTTTTTATACATGGTAAATGTAGATGTGTAAGAATACATAGATAAAAATTTATAAGTGGAAGTCTGATTAAGGATATTTAAAACAAAAATTTCATTAGTGGGAGACAGATTTGAGTAAAGAGATAATGCTTCAAGATAACAGAGCTTGAGGCCCAGGGTTGTTGTGATAGTTAGATTGTGGCAGCAGTGAGGAAGGCACTGGTGTGCTTAAATAGCACTTGTTCTTTTCAGATTTTCTAAAATCATTTTGCCTTTGTTTTCCAGGCTGCAGAGATTTTTGATGGTGGGAATGGTGAAACCCAGACTGTATCTCCTGCCATTCCTTGGGCTGCCTTCCCTGCAGGTACTACTAGACAAGACGGGGCATTTTCCTTTTGTAACATTTTTGGCCTTTTTATTGAGACCCTCTCTCTTCCTTTGTTTTTGGCCTTTCTGATTTTACATAGGGTGTAACGCAGATTTCAATGAGGAGTTTTAACGTGGTGAGTTAGGAATTGCATAACAAGTGCTGCAAGGTGGCTGGAGGTAAGGTCCTCAAAATGATATCAGGAATGTTAAGTAGAATTAAAGCACAATTTACATTTCTTAATTTGTCTTACAGTTTCAGGAAGGTGTGGTGAGAATCTTCTAGGTTTGCCTTGTTCATTGAAGGTTCCTTCATACATTCTAAAATTAATTTATCATCTCTACCAGTACTTAAGTGCAGAAGACTTTTTTTTAAAACAGGAAAAAATCATTCAGCGGTATTGAAATTAAGGTATTCAAGAACTTAAATACAAAAATAAATTCTTTTGTGAGATATATATATTTTGATGTATGGAGCAAATTTGTGATTTGGGAGCAGTGATGCTCTCATCCACTCATTTAGCAAATGTTGATTGCATGCTTGGTAAGAATGTCCTTGAGGCTGTGTATGTCTTGTTCAGTGGACTTTGAAGGTTGCTTAAGATTTCAATAGGCAGAGATGGGAGAATGGAAAAAGATGTTGAAGGGGCAAATATAAATGGACCATTGATGTAAAAGAAGGAATTGTGTGGCGCTGGTAGGATGGTTATTTTTGTTTGGGGCCTGATAGTTCCTTTCCCTGGAATTTTCTTGTGACCACTGCTGCCCTCTCCCACTGCCTTATCAGACGAACTCCTGCAATTTTATGTGTTGTATCTTGATTTAGTATTTCTTTTTCTGAGGAGCCTTCCTAAAGAAACTCCCCCTACCCCACCCACTTGTGTGCATCTATCTTTGGATTTTTACATTAGGTATTAATTTTGGGGGTTTATTCTTTCTGACCTATTGTCATATCTTATATACCACATGCAGTTCTTGACTTATAGTCTTTCCATATTATTTGTAGAATGAAAAATTAAAGAAAGACAAATGAATAACTGGATGAATGACCAGACTAGGGCGTGACTGATGTGAGAGTTGGGGTAATTAATATTTATAAATGCCTTAGGAATTTCATTTGCTGTCACATAGTGGTTATAAATTAGATGGGGCAACTCTACTATTTCCATTGTGCAGATGACAAAAAGATTGCCTATGAGATTTTTACAGATTATGCAGATAAATCTGTTTAGAAATGAAATTCATTTGTGTAATTCTGTCTCAGATTTACATCAGCAGGGCTGTCTGACAGGAAGGAAGGGTAAAGGAACAATGAAATTTGTTTTGAAGCTTGAAGCCTCAGTTCTGAATGTTACTGGGAAAGAAACAGAATTTAGATTGAGTTGGATTGAGACATTATGGGGTTTTCAGTTTACCTTAGACAGGTGTATCTAGTTTAGGAGAAAGGCAGGGTTGAGATTCTTGGTTTGTAAGATTTCCCACTGATAATAACAATTGAAGCTGGGGGCTATCCCTGCTTTGTAGGTATAGGAAATAGGGGTCAGTAGAGAAATTGGCATGTCCATATACAGAGAGCAGCAGGAAGGAAGAGATAGAAGACTTGAGAGGTCAGCAGAGTGTGACTACGATTGTAGCACAGATTAGGGAGTAGAAAACTTCAGAAGAGTGGTCACTGCTGTTTAGAGGCTGTACAGGCCAGTGAGATGTGAGACAGAAAGGTCAGTCATAAGTGATTTGGAAAGAAATGGTTTCAGCCAATTGGAAATGGAAGCCAAATTATACTTATTTATTTGTATGAAAGCAGAAATAGGTTATGTCTTCCGATTATCTTTGTCAGTGTGTTAAAAATTTGTAATGTATATTTTACATATACGTGTATGGTGTGTGATATAGCTGTATATACTATCTATCAGCTGTTACCTGTCTGCCCATTCATCCGTCCACTCATCTGTTCATCAGTGTGTCTAATTCCTTTTCTGAGTGAATATGATGTCATATTTACATGTACCTACGTATATTAGTTCCTCAAACCCTAATAAAATTAGAATTAAAAGCAGCCACACTAATGTGTACACATACAGACACACAATTGTTTTTTTTAGTCCTTATTCTCTTAAAATAAATCAAATCTGAAAAAAGTCTTCTTTCTGGATTTCTTAGTGACTTGCAGAGGTGGGGGATAATAAACCTGGCCAAGAATTCAAGTTTAAGGGAAATTGTTTAGACCCCAGCTATATGAATAAACTTATAAGCATTAACAATGTAATCATTTCCATACTAAAGACCAAGAAGATGGGAACCTTTGTGACCTAAAGCAGATTCTTTTCTGTGTAAGAAAAGACTAATTTTCTTTTTGTTTGTTTCTCTGTCTATACTCTTAACTGCTTGTAATCTATAGGAAAAATCACTTTAAGTGGTGACTATTAACCAAGTTTTACCACAATTTAAAATCTAAGAAGTGTAGTCATATGTAGTTTAGTTGTGAAAGTACCTGGAGGAGAATCCTTCAGGTGAGGATGAAAGATTTTCTTAAGGACCAGTGTAATGGGCTTAGCCTTCCTTGTGATTTTCCAGATTTCATGCTGGTAGCACCTTGGAGGTTTTTCCCAGTAGCAGTGTTGTATGTTTCTCAGTTCCTTCTTGCACTCACAGACCACATTAGAATTCATTGATAATCAGAGAGAGAAACAAATGGTCCAGTCAACATCTCAGAGTCTGTTTATAGCCTGGAATACTGTTCATGGATCCAGGTACCTGCACATATGCATCTGAGTGGAATATCAGCAGCATTTATATAGTGGGACCTTTTAGAACACTAATTTTATGCAGTGCAGTGCTGCTAATAAAATCTCTAGTCAGAATAAGTAAAATGCACCTGTGAAACTTTGTAATAAAAGTTCTGGACCTTTTCATAAGAAAAGTTTGATACACACATGTACATTTGTATATGTAAGTGTAAGTTGTATATATCAGAATATAGACATGGTAGATACTGATTTCATCCTGTTTCCCCACTTACTTTCCATTGCACATTGTCCCTACTATACCCTTTTGAAAGGACTTCTAAGGCACATTAGTCTGTTAGTACTAGTAGTTTGGCTTTAGTATAATCAAAGATTGATAATTCTTGGGACTTATTTAATTATTTGTTTTATTCATTAATTTATTCAGCCACTCAGTTATCAGACATTTGAAAATGTATACGATGCATCAGACATTTATGTGCCACCGACTGTGGACCTTACTCCATTTTCAGTGATGCCTCACAAGGATTCAGTGTGTTTGATGTAATGTGGGGTTACTGCTCACACATGCTTCTGTCAGTAACTTCAGCTTTCCATCTCTGATAGTGCTAGTGTGGGGTGCTTCATGCTGCCATTGTGTACAGTATGGGTGGTACTGTGTTAGAGGCAGTGGCTGCTCACTCTTTACTTTCTGCAGTACAAATATAAATTGTCTAGAAGGCGAGGTGGGAGGCAAAACCTTGAATACTGTCCCTTCCAATATGTTTCTTAGTTCCTTCTTGCACTGCACAGACCACATTAGAATGCATTGACCATCAAAGGGAAAAACAAGTGGTCCAGATAGATACTTTAATCCAAATTAGCTCCTTCAAAACAGCTTATGGAGAGGGCAAACTAAACTGTCTGTCACAGGCCAACCCTGTAGAAGGAAGAATGGGAATCCGACCAGCAGATGTTGAACCAAATAACTTAGATGTGGTTTGCTTTGCATCTGGAGCTATTTGCATACAAAGCCAACAGGAAAGTTCAAACATTTTTCTCAAGACATTGGCAGAGAGAAACCTGGAAGACAGATGCTTTTTTGATTTCATGGTTCAGTTTTTCCATTCTCCATTCTCCTGGCCAGGAAAACCTAGGACAACAAATCGGTCATTTTATTAATATCCCATTACTCTCCTTGCTAACCCTGTTTTTCCAGTAGAATCTGTATTACACATCGACAAGCGCTTGCCCTGAATTCACAAATTTTTGTTTGTGAAAAAATTGTGATTTTTTTTCTTCAAATTAAGCTGTGATTTGCACATATTTATAAACCTGAACTGAATTTAGGCTTGGTCTCTTCTTTAGACTGGAATTTGAAGGTGACTTATTGAAAGTGATCTACCTGTATTTTAATAGGTGATATGGATAACATTTAAAAGCTTTACATTATTTTTGTTTTCTGTTAAGCTTATATTCATCAGGATATACTGGATTTTCATTGTAGCACAATCATTTTATAGTCTTGATATAGATTATGTGAATGGAAGAGTGCTAGATAAATGGTGTTTGTTACTTCATATATAGATATATGAAGCATATATAGATATTTATGTGCTGTGAACTAATATTATAATAAATAACTTTACCTGGGAGGTACCTCCCAGGTTATTAAATCACTTTTCATTCTGGAGATTTTTGTGATAAATCTAAGTGTTAGTCTTTACACAGATGTTCAATAATCTATGGCCATTCCTATTTTTATTAAAAGCATATAATAGGGAGTATAGTCATGCTATATATAGTGATAATTGTTATGATTTCAGAGATTAGGTTTATACTGTGGTTTTAGAGTCAAATGTCTTTGACCTTGCCATAGGAGTTCTGGCTTTGCTTGCTGTGAACTAATATTGTAAAATCTCTGAAACTCAGCTATTATATAAATTGTAGGACTAATTGATAGCTGAGTGTACTTCCAGATTTTGAATTCTAAGTTAATACTTAATTTTTTTCTGGGTATAGTGTTCTGTAACAGGAGTTGCTTCCCCTAGGTAAGTCTTGGTGCCCAGTGTCCACTACCTGGTATAACTGATATAATGCTAATCCAGTGCATTGCATTTGTTCAAGAATATTGCTGTAAGCATAGAACACAGATAATGGGAAAAACTGTACTACTTACATGTAATATTTTTCTCTATATTTTTGTTATGGTTACTGAATATTATTTTTCTTGGAGTATTTTATGGTATGGTATTCTGTGTGATTATGAGTAACT